GTGAATAGATTTGATGATGCCAGCAGGCTAGAATACGGTCATAATATTTTATCAAACAGACCAAAGTAAGCTTCAAGTTTCTTTTCACCGTCTATTTTACCTAGACGGAAGTAATAAGACTCAATGAGGAAATGGATAATGCAATTAAATCCAATGGAGTGCGGAGGGCCATCATGACTCTATCCAAACTCGATCTTGCTGTCGTGGATGACCATCTACTTGTCAAAATGCTAGCAATACCTGGCAATTTGATTCTTATTGCCATGGCTAAGATACACGGATTACAAAATGGATCGAGCGTTATATAAAATGATTGAATAATTAGGATAGTTGTTGGTCTAATTAAATTCATTATAGTAACATGAGCTAGCAAAATAAATCATGATTGAATTAGGGAGATGAACTCTTAAAAAAAGAGTACGACGCGCCTTGATCCTATCCAGACGTCAAGCACATCAATCAGAATTGGCTAGAAAATGGTGGACTCGGCCCTATCATCTTCTTCTAGAGATTTTGATGATGTAATGTGTGGTAATAATAGCATGAAATCCGTCTTATCCCAGTAGAAAATAAAACTTTTTCAAGCAGACTACTCAGAGTCTTGCAATAGCGGATTTGCTACCTTATAGAATGCGATACGCGTATAATCCTATCGAGCCTCAGTAAATCGGAATATTTCCATTAGGCGATCGATGCGCACAGAATGAGCGTTATGAGAATTTCCAGCCTTAATGTTAGTATTTAAAAAAGTAAAAGTTGAAGTCAATTTGAACACTGGATTTCCTATCATCATGGATGATATAAGACTAGGATGATTTTTCATTCTACTGAAAGGATTAGTCTAATTTTCTCCACCTAATCTAAGTGAGCTATTACCTATGACAAACGGATGAGGAAATACCCAATGAAATGGCATCGATTGATTTTTTAGCATCATTTTCTCATTTGTTAACGTAACGGTTACAATGTCATTTTATCATCCTTAAAGCATTTCCTAAAGTCATTCGTCAAGATTGCTAGAAAACGAAACAGTGATTGTGTTGATCGCTTTTTTTTTTACATCATTTTCATGATAGGATGAGCGATAATTTCCATTGAACGCATAATTTGATAATAAAACTCAAGCTGATAAAGTTCAAGAATTATCTACAGATTCACGAGACGTACTGTATAAGAGTTATAAATATCAAGTCAAATTGTACTACTACCGATTGGTTTGGAAGCCATGGATCGGTTTCAAAATCAACGATATAGGTATTTTGTATCCTTGTCGCAATAGAAAATGGAAGACAAAGGAAAGCAGTACAATCTGATCCTAAGCACAAAAGTAATGCATTTATGAATCATCGATGCCTTCTTCTTGTACAGTATAATGAGTTAAAAGCAGTTTATAAGTCTTTTCATCTATCGGCTTATCCGTGCAGTTAGGGCTGCCGATTAGTTTGGGTGCCGGCGATTGAATGTATATTTAACGGCGTCCCTGTCCACCGTATCCTTGTCGCAATGGAAAGTAGAAGACATAGCAAAGCAAGACAATCGAATCCCAAGCACAAAGAGTAGTGCAAGTAGAATGGGTGATGATGAATTTGCAAAATTACATCATCCTTTAATTCAGAAATTCATCGATTACTGTGTAGGCTAAAAATAATTTGCCCATTAATTTCTCTTCTAATAATTTATGCATGACCCTCTTGATGTTGGTTGTTACGGTAGCTACGACAAGGTAGTGCGCTAGCGCTCATCACTTTAGGGTTTATTTTTCCATCATCATTTCCATGATTATGGAGAATCATTTCAATGCATCATCGCCTAATAAACATTGTCATCAATTGGACGGGAAACAGAGCTCGATCATGACTAATATCCATTCTTGGTACGGCTGATGAAGAACGCCTTGTTGATTCTTTCTAGTTTTCAAGATGTTCATAATACAGATCCAATTGCATTTTTTTAATCCGTATGCAGTACTCATCAATCTACGCATACTTAATCCCACCAAATATCAGAAAAAAGGATATCAAAATGAAATTAAAATGCCTATACTACTGTATTCTAGATGTACAGCTAACGATAGAATGATCGCCAGCCATCAGCAAGTTGGACAGCAAGGCTATCATGACTTACCATTTTCCCCATGTTGAAAAAAATTTCAGCCAAGATACTTGAATAATTGAAAAACTTCCTGCTGGCTTGCGTGCATGAAAACACACCAAGATGAAATGAAATGACAAGATGAAGGAGATCATATAGGCTGGATTGATCTCGATAATGATTGGCTTAATTGGAATAGGGATAAGAAATCAACTTTGAATAATGCAAGGCGGAGCTTGTTGATGAAATTATATTCAAATTGGATCTTCTTGGCTTAGGATTGCTGCAGCAAATTATGCGATTATTGAATCAATAATATCAATACAATAGCTTAGGTTGTCAAAACAAAGCTTGTACCAAGCCCTGATCCAATATAAATGAGCTAGGATGAAATATGGATCATCAACAATCAGCATTATTTCTTGCTATTGAACTCAGTCTTGTGATGCCAGGCGGAGCCTACTGCTTTATGTCAACAATGAATCATGGTGCACAAGTAGAATATTCATCTGGACTCTAGCAAGCTATTCAAGTTGGAAATAGATTACATTACGTCAAGATGAACTCTAGTAACAGCATATGGCAGATAAATCAATACAGCTCGAAAGCCAATGGAATCCATCATGCCCATCCAATAGACTCAACGATCTCTCTCATTTTGGTTTCAGTCAGCTTGGATAGACCATATTCTCTCTCAATTTTAGCGTGGTGACTATCAAGCATGGCATTCGATTGCATCACGTAGAAAGTCTAGACAGAGAATTCCTAAAGTAATTAATAACATGATTATGACAGCTAGGGATAGCATTACCCCAGGTTCATTATTCTATGAGATGTCTTGGCTATCCGCAACTCGATCAGAAGGTGGAAGTAATCTTCCCTATGAAGTGGAAATCACTAATAGGCCAGTCATGCTTTATTGACCTCTGTTAGCCTCAAAAGGCGAGCATAATCACTCTAGCCTTTCAGATCAATATTGAAAAAGTTACATTATCCATTCTATACCGGTAGTAGAGAACTACATATGATTTACAACCCTATTTTGTTGATTTTACCATGGCCCAATTATGACCCCTACCAGTTACGCATTTCTGATGATGTATGATGGTCAACATAACAATCTTACAAGAGTTTTAGCCGGCTAAACTTGACTACAATTGAATTCAATTTTTCATTACCTTTCTAAAAATGACTAGTTTTCAATTAAAAATAATATTTTAGATGGATAAGCGATAAGTAATAAGACAACTTTGGGCGGATAAAGTTATTGAATTCTCTGATCATGCTAATACGAACACTTAGTGAGGTTATTACTGATAGAAGAGAATCACTTTGCTACTGCAATACGATAGAGTGATTCATGTTTACATGGACATCATGCCATACTAATTCAAATTTAGTTTCTCTATTTCCTTTCTTAATAATGTAAACTTTTTACTTAAAATACCTCGTTTTAATGATATTTCATACGGATATGCGACAAATAATATCGCGAATCATTTTTGAGATTGGCCGGTTATTCCTGAGATTGGCCAGGATTGCCCGGCCAATCACAGGAATGAAAAACATAGCACATCAAAACACATATGACTGGATTTCGTACTTGGACGGTAGCAATTGCTATTGCTATATGACAGCTTGAGGCGGATATAACTATAGAATCCTCTAACTATGCTAATATGAACATTCAGTGAGATTATTGCTGATAGAAAAGAACCTTTTTGCTACAGCAATACGATAAAGTAACTCATGTTTACATGGACATTATGCTATACTAATTCAAATTTAGTTTCTCCATTTCCTTTCTTAATAATATCAACTCCTTTCTCAAAAATGCCTCGTTTTAATGATATTTTGTACGGATATGTGACAAATAATAATATGGCTTTAGGCAGATACAACTGTAAAATTCTCTAGCTATGCTAATGTGAGCATTCAGTGAGGCAATGACTGAGAGACAATAATCATTTTGCTACTGCTATATAATAACGTAATTCATATTTACATTGGCATCAGTCTATACTAATTCAATTTTTCATTTCCTTTCTAAAATCACCTCGTTTTCAGTGATATTTTGTACGTCTATGCGATAAGAAATAAGATATTGCTTAAGGTAGGTAAAACTATAAAATTCCCTAGGCATACTCACATCGGCACTTAGTGAGGTTATTACTCAGAGAAAGAATCATTTTGCTATTAATATACGATAGGATGATTCAAGTTTACGGTTGCATCATGCTATACCAATTCAATTCAATTTTTTAATTTCCTTTTTGCAACTCCTCGTTTTTAATGATATTTTATACGGATATGCGATAAGTGATAAGACGGCTTTAGAAGGATAAAACTATAGAATTCTATAAACATACTAACATCAACATCGAATGAGTCCATTACTGATAGGAAAAATATTTTTCAACTGTTAAACTAAATATCAAATTAACAAAATCAACTCAACATAGCTTATTTACGTATAAACTTTCAATAGCTGAAAACACGTAGACAAAAATACAATCATAATACTAAGGAAATATCTGGGTATTAACATCATATTGATAGCAAGAAATGATATGGAGCCAAGTTATCAAAAAAAGCTTGCCTTAAATTATACCAACAGTGATAGTTTAAGCTCGATTAATGAAATTAAATGTTATCCGGATTATCATCCATATTGTTTTATGTAAGATCTAAACATAATTAATAATTATCTTGGCTTTGCAAGAAACAGAAACACTAAGTGTCGACGATAATAGTTAGCAGGATACGCCTCTAACAGTTGACCAACAGGATGGAATAAAGTAGATCGCATACATAATAAGCAGATTAGAGAGTATGATGAAGACGTTTTATGATGAAGAAGTTTTTGTATATTGTATACTTCCATCGTGAGTAAGTATACTCAATACTACTTATGGAATCGGATTTTGAACGCCAAGGGAGGATACAATCTCCTCGGTAATAAAGCGATACATATGATGCATCGTTTTATTGTCTGTAATTTCATGGCCTTGATTGATATAAGTCTAGAACGAAAGGGAATTGATAATAAATAAATTTATTAACTTTGTTGATGAAGGAATAATGTAAAGGCTATGACTGCAAAACATTGATTTTGAATCTAAGAGATCAGTAAGAAATTGCTCCTCAATCTACTCATCAAAGAAGCAAAATATCATTGCCGCATTATAAAATAGCCAAGACGACCTGATTCACTTTATAAAGTTAGCAATAATGGGATGACTTCAGAAAATAACGTAATTTATTGTTTATAATATTATTAGCTTAGTAAACTTGACCTAGCTTATTCACCCAATGCAATGTCAAAGATTCATTACCTGCATTCTAAACTTAATATCCTCGCTTTGCAGCTTATTAATTAAATTGGCAGAATTTTGAAATAGGACATTTGCATCGTAGCTACCATGGACAATGGCAAAATCGGAGGATTCAAAACCGCTAATTTTATTCAGGACCGAAGCCTCCTATATATCCATATTATATAAATAGCAAAAGTCTTAATAAAGAAGAACATTTTGACCCACGATTACAGAATGGAATAATTTTGCACTGATATCAGCTACTTATGGATATCATTTCTGTTGTCATCAAGCCAAATTTTAAAGTAATTAATACAAATGAAACTTGAAAAATAGCATACCTCGTAGCCTTGGCGATTAGTAGCATAAGTACTGAGGTAGCGCTCGGAATAGACGGAATCTGTTATTGAGAAATTGAATTTATCACAATTTGAGAAAATAAATTAACATATGTATTAGATAGCCATTAACTAACAGCTTTACAACACGGTCTCAGTATAGAAATTAAATAAAATCACTTTTAAATTAAGAATAGAGGGTTAAAGACTACGATCAAAATAGATTGATGCTGAATAGATACACTTTGGTCGTTCATATGCTGCGTAACAAATCAGAAAACTCAGTAAAGCAATTAGAATGTATAACTTGGAGTTGCGTCTATTCTTTAACCATTGAAATGAGATAGTAACAAAAACGAACAGTAGAAAAACAAAACGAATTCCAATGAATAGCAACAGAATAAAATCGAAAACGAAACAAATTCTTAACTAAAGGAATAGAATAAACCATCGCATAAAGCAGTAACGTGATTCCACATTAAAACTAGTAGTGCCTATTTTTGACTAAAAATCTAGTCATTACTAAAATACAATGAAAAAATTATAACATAGATGTAGAATAAGCAACGAGTGATAAAAAAAAATTTCAAAATTAGACAAACATGAATAAGAAAGATTAAATACACTTCCGGTAAATAAAAGTGACATGCGGAGAAGTATTGAATAAATTGTAAGTTATTAGTAAAGAATTATGAAAAAGTCAAGCAATTATAAACTAGGTTCATAGCATCAACCTAGCTTCGAAATACCACCAGCTTTAAAATTAACCAATCCTTCATTCATTAATATAGACTAGTAAATAATTTACAAGTTAAATGAGCATCTGATTTAAGTAAATTTCTTACCATAGAATATCCAGTTGGTGTTTGGCGCTCCTGCAATTCCCAACTTTACCTTGGCTTTACCAGATCCAACAGTCATGGCTGAAAGATATCCTCCATATCCCTAGGATAATATTATTATCAGTGATATTTACTTTAAAGCTTTAAAGCGTTTGATTTTACTCCGCCCATGAAATCAAATCCGTCTTTCAAGCTATCTTTTATACCATTTATTTAGTAGCATTTAATTCGTATTATATGTGTACTTTTTAATTCTTTACTCAATGACGATAGGAGTAGAATCAGTCGCTTAAAATTTCTATCTATGCTATTCGATGGCATACATACCCAGCCATAAACTGCTATTTTGGCAGTGTCAACGTAACCTTGCGTCTTTAAATACCTAATATGGAAAATTGATAAACACCTCATGTAAATTAAGATATCTACATCTTGTACTAATCCCATGAAATAAGAGTGTAGAAATTGATACAATGGGTAGCAGACAAATACTCGGTAAAAGTCAATCAGTATAAAGGATAACTGAAGACATAAACATCTTCTACTAATCTCCGAAACAGAACTAATAGAATAGATAGCAGGTAAATTGTCGGCAAATGTATATCAGTATAAAGTATAACTTAAGTAATTATTATCTTCTACTTATCCCACGAAATGGAATTAATAGAATAGACAGTAGATAAATAGCCGATAAAAGTATATCAGTATAAAATTTAACTTAAGATATTAATATCTTCTCCTAATCTTACAAAATAGAATTAATAGAATGGATAGCAGATAAATAGTCGGTAAAAGTATATTGGCACTATATACTATAAAGTATAATTTAAGATATTAACATCTTCTACTAATCTCACAAAATATAATTAATAGAATAGACACCAGACAAAATAGTTGGCAATGCAAAACGAATTCTAAAAGTACTTACGTGACATAATTCTCAATATCAAGGACTTGAACAAATCCTAATCTTCGATAGACGGAATAGGTAAACCTATAAAAGACGGAGTACGAAATGACATTGGTTTTTATAGGTCTTAAATTGCGTGTAAAGGTTATTTGAGAGCTTAATGATAAGATACATACTCATTTCTCTGACTTCCTTTTGTACCTCTCGGATCAATGCGTGCCACAATAATATTCATTGAGGAAGCAAGGTATTGAATAAAGCCCAATTGAAATCGTGTATCCACCTTAATCATGACGAACATTTAAATTACTTTATTTCTTATTTTGTTATTTAGATCATTCAATCAAAAGACGGACTTAAAGTTATTAATCTTCTTTATGTACCACTATCAATTAATGATGTTCATGGACATAAAAACGAGCTAAACTTAATTACTGTAGATAGTCATATGGAGACTCTTTAATTAGCCTTGATTATAAATTCTTGAATGTTTTTTAAGCACATTCTTGTAGAACACAAATAATTCATTGGTAGCAACGATCGTCACAGAATTATTTCTGTATAGTTAGTAGCAATAGCAATGTGTACTATCTTACCACAGAGCTGTCAGGTGTTCCATCCCTAAGTTTAGTAAGAGGATCATCATGATTAGTATTCTTTCAGATGCTATATATCTCACATGCTCGTATTATAAAATATAAATTATTCGCATACTGCATTACATTATAAAATTTAAACATCCTCAGTTCGACAGCCATTTAGCGAACTGTCTGACTTACATGTAAATAATCACTGGATATTTAACTGTTATATCAAAATAAGGTGGACGGTATTCAACCACGTTAATATCTGTAGAATAAGTATAGAGATACTGAAGAATTAATACTGCATTTTATTTATTTTACAGATTCAGTTATATCAGTTTATATTTCCTCTATTTTTATTTCAAAATTTCCAATTAGAACAATATAGTAATCTTACCATAACCACCACTAGTAAAGGTGTAGAACGTGGTGCTTGCTAAATCTTTCTTAGCCAGTCTTTCAGAAACAACATGATTGTCCTCCATAACAGTAGCTATAAATGTTGAATAAAGATCAAGATTATTCATGTTTGAACTTGCTAAAAATTTTATTTCAGGTCATACAGAGATAATCCTCCCAAAGCTTACATTTATTAGCCACAGCGTCAACCAAATAATATTTAGGTATGCTTGGTCCTACCAAAGAAAAGAAACAGTGTAGTTATAAATGATACCCTTAGAGGTGTTTACTACCTTAAAATTAACTTTTTTGCGGATTCCTACCTAAACAGTTGAGGATATAATAAGATGCTTGGGCACTAAACGACGCTGAATAATAAGAACAAACGCCTAGAGTTGATAGTCATGAGAATAGTTAGAAATCTTCTCTGGATAAGGCTATTTCACACTGATGATAATCAACTTCCATAAAGCAGACAAATCAAGCTCAAAATAATACAAATAGGCATCGACTAAAGACCATTTGATCCAGTAAGCAAGACACTACAAACTATAAATAAGAAGCTTACTAGAAGCTTTGAAATTGCATGAGATACAAGTTCTGACATTGGTTCCATCTAGTGTTACACTAAATTGTAATGGAGTTATTAAAAGCGAATAAGAAGAAATTATTGAGCAATTTTTCAAATCGTTTAAGTAGAATATCGTAAAGATCCAATCTATCATAAATTGAGAGTGGAAATTGGTTGAAAATTTACCTGTAAATATGTCTTGTAACACGTGAATATTCCGTGCTTTGGAAATAACTGAAGTAAATCACGGCAATGAAAATTATTGTTAGTACATTGGTTAAACTCAAATTCATTTACTTATTGGTCTAATGATTTCAATAAACGAGTTTTATTCTATTGCTATAACAAGAAGTTGTAAATTGATGGCAGATGCGGTGTTCACTTACACAAAATTTCTGGCTTCTGCTAGCGAATAAATCTCAGTCACTTGGAAACTGCCTGACGTTATCCAGACTTTAGTGCCGTTCTGCAAGAAATGAAGGTTAAACATAGAAAACTAAAATTACGGATTACCTATCGACAACCTTTATCAATTTTATCTTCGACGATTAAGAATTCATTCTTTTTCTAACCAAAAAATTACATACCGATGTAAATATTTTGGCAATATGATAATATGTTTCGGAGCTTGCAACAGTTCTAGGTTGAAGTTGCAAGTAATAGGAGCCATCCGAACTAAATTTTGGATCCGGCTGGCAATATGAGCCACGATGGATAAAAGTGGATAATAAGAAAATAATTTTATTACTACTAGGTACTGTAGCGGGTGCAGAATGCATTCGCTTACTAGATAGACTACATCACTAAACTACTCTTATCTTATGGTATAGAATACTTACATAGAACGGATTAACCCAGCCATTGGTGATATCCGTTTTACTTAGCTAAACAGTCCATAGATGCATAGGCGATAGGATATCAATAAATTATAAATTAACGCAAGAATAGCAGTTTACAAGAGAACCGAAAACTTACAGTACGGCATTGCCTAGTAACAGCATTGCATATAACATCCGTAGTTGAACTTTGGGCTCGATTCATCCAGGTAATAATAACATCGTTATTTGTAGCCCAATTGACATTAGTAAAGTAAAATTGGCTAAAAAATAAATTAAAATAATTCATCCATAAGAAGTCAAAGGTAATATTTAGTATTTTCTATTCAGTTCTAGTTATCCTAGATCAGTTTAATTTCTATTACCCTGCATAAGTTGCAGGAGCAGATAGCGCAAAACCATTGGCAGGATTCGTTGAGCTAGCAACAATAACACGATTTAAAGGATTGGTATCGCCAGACTAGCAAAATAGAAAGACAAGGCGGCAATCAAGTTAGGGCTTGCTATATTAGAAGATAGGATTACTCTACTTTACACTTTATAACACTTAGCTATACTACCTGGAGATGCAAAATAAATTATCGTCAATGTGAAGAAATATTGACAGAATGCGATTATAATAAGGATTAAAATATTAATTAAAGAATAAAGAAAGTCAAGATGTGATATTTTAAAGCTCATTTCAAATAAATCAAAAATCAGGAAAAAGATCGGAAAACGCAGCAAATAAACTATCTTCAATGTGAAGAAATATTGATAGAATGCGATGACAGTAAGGAATAAAATCTGTATCAAAAATAAAGTCAAAATACGATATTTTAAAAACTCTTTAATTAAAAATATCTAAAATCATTTAAAAAATAGCTACAAGTTGACGATGCTTTGTAATAGGTAAACTACCATATTTAGTACATGTAGGATTAAATGATCATATCATGTCTGTGAAGATCTGATTCTAGCTAATTAATAGTTAGTACTGGACTTAAATAATAATTCCATCAATGACGGTAAGTTGCTGTGTCAACATATAATACTATAGAAACATGCCGACGGGAAACATTTTATACCAGTATTAGATAGTGACGAAAGGAAAAGACGAAAATATTTAGCTAGAATCCGTCTATTCTGAATACTGGGTATGACGCTGAGCAGGAAAATCAAGGCTATAATGTCATCATGAACACATAAAGCAGCAATCGCTATGCCTACCTTTGGATAACGAATATTATGAACAGACGCGTAAGACAGACCGGGATTGTAATGTAATCGATTGGAAGGGCGAACAAAAGTATCATTCCAGAATCCGAAAGCAATGTAAGCATTATTCTTGGACCAATAAATTGCATTATTGGATCTTAATATTTGTTCTATAAAATAGAAGATAACATCAACTTGATATCAATAAGCAAAAATGTACTCAAATAATGCATTAAGGTTGATTTTGATGAATAATGTCGGACGAGAGAGAAATTTCTTCTTGGCAATTCACTTAAATTGAATATCTACCATACCTTCATTCATCCAATCAGGTACTCCATAGAAAACAACTCCAGGTTTACCAGCAGAAGTAAATCGAATTGGTGAACCAACTGCAGGATCCGGAATAAGGTAAACATCATTATTATAGACAAAAGACTAGAAATGAAACAAACCAAATCGGATCAAATCAACCACTATCCATTCAGGCTATATCCTAAAATTGTTCTCAGTTTGGTTTTAACGTTTCCTTCGTTTACTACTCATTTCGATAGCTATGCTCTTACGGAAAAATTTCGAAATTGCATATGCAAAGTACTCAAAATGCCCTATAAAGAGGGAAACATTTCTCTAGAAATAACTATCATACCAGTTGATGACCACTTGCTGACCAGCCCATATAAGATAGCAATCTTCCAACACCTAACGGTTCTAAAGGAAAGAACCGCCTGTAGAAAAAAATTAATAATACCCCATTAGGTCAATAAAGTCGAAAACAGGTTGTATAGGATATCAATCACAATTTGGAACATTCAAACAGCGTAAATCCTTACTGGTCAGAAATCCTGTAGGCCACATATCGAGCAAGAAAAGAGTAACGAAATTGCTATAAATGGAAATGCATCAATACAATAACGAATTAATAGATCTTATTTTCCAAGAGTTTCATTTTATACTGCTCTATGATACTTTTTTATCTTGGTTTATTCTTTAAGCCTTAATTAATCTCAACACCAGCTACATTAGACCATTAATTTAACTAAAGTCCATTTGATACTCGTACGAGTATGCTTTAGCGCATTATTATCATACGCTCGTGTATTAGGTTTTCCAAATTGAAATATAGTCTTTGCACTTACGAAAGTAAAACCGAACTAAATAGCATCGTACCATTAGCATTACTGCCGCTGATTCATGCATTAATTTATGGATATCAAGGATTTTATCTATTGGCTTTCTATTAATTATAATTCTTTTTGCCACTTTAAAAACGCCTAACTCTTTTAAAATAGGACACCTATATCCCAACCACATTATGATGTGGATAAATTAACCTTGATAGCCCAATAAATGGATACAAAGCTGATATAATTAAAAGTTTACTTTTTAATTATGTAGCCGCTAAAAATAATCTAATTACACCCAACCATTCAAGCTCAATCATGAATTATAACACTAGTAATGCAAGATAAATATAACTAAAATGAAAGCAAATCTTACCTGAACGACATCATAAGCTAGCAAGACAAATTGACGATCAGGGCTAACCCAAGTCTTCGTAGCTGAGTACAAGCTCTGGATAGATAAAACAGATTAAATTAAAAAATCGATCCACTCTTTATTGCACCATTAGTATGCATTTAAAATGTAAATAATCTTACCAATGAGGCTCGCGTAATGACATTTTGTGTACTAGTGGTTTTGGAGTTATGACTACGAACATCACCACCAGTAGTTTTATAAGAATAAATTTCATCTATAGGACAATTTCATTTACATTCATCAACGCATTAGTAATAGTGATAGAAACTATCAGAACAAATAAAAGAGTCTTGGATAACTGTAAAATAACTTACCATCATGCCAGAAGACATCATAGCCTTGATATTGGTATAAAGAACTAAACATATCTTCATAGCTAAAGCCAGGTTGCGTTGATTGATTATTGTTTGTCAGTTGATCTGTTGATTGATAATGTTCCACTAATTAGATATTCTCAATGCATACAATATTTGATTCTATTCTTAATTGTACAAGATTTTCATGGACTACGGTATATTCATTTACAGTTAAAGCTTCAAGTTGTTCAAATATATTCCCGTACAGATATTATACATGTACAAGATTTCCTAGAATTATTATCTTTCATCTGTATAAAATACTTGCTCATCTTGTGCTAGTAGGATACTTAATATTCGCTTCTATTCCTATAATTTTATCTCCATAAAGTTATCAAAATTTCAGGATATTAACCGACTATATTCTTAGACACAGTATATGATATATCATCTTTACTCAATTGACTTTCATCTGTCTAAGATTCGGTTCACTTTGATAATTTTTTACTCTATTTTCTAGCCTGTATAATAATTTCATTTACGTATAAATTTATTTCCTTAGTTTAGATTATTTAAGCTACTTCCTTAACCATGCGAATTATTTGCTTATGATATGATATTTCATAGAAGTAGTCCAGTTCTGTACCTCAAGCTATTAGCCGTTATTTTCATCTTTACAAAAGAAACTACAATAATTTTTTCGTTTGTACGCAGCATTGCAATATTTCATAGTATTTTGAGCGCACCTTTACTAACATGAAATATTTTCTTACGCTATACTATTCTTATTTCTATATTGGCTTGCGATACAATGCCTATTTCTGCGTCTAGTACTTGTATTTACATCACTTTGCAAGCAAAAAAATTATATGTCGCATGCAAATACAAGGTAGAAATAATTTACCTCTCAATACGACTACTAGCGCAACTGCGGTTGCAATTATCGCTAAAATGGTAAGGGCAATGACTATCCATATAATAGTGCGTTTCGATTTCGAGCGAGTTCGGCGTTCTTCTTGGACGTTCTAATCAAATGTAGCAATAAAGTCAAAATTGAAATCATCAGATTTAGAGCTTGTCGAACGATACTGCGCAAATATTTTATTTTTTTAAGAATTTGTAGAATAATTAGCACTAGAATGGATAACAAATAATAGCCAATATGAAAGATCAGAAAATCGAAGTAATCAATTATAATTATCCACTAGAATCATGCAGTACCAAGCAATAGAAGGTGCCGATATTTTGAAGAAAGTTGAAATTAAAGAGTCTATTTTAGAACTATGTCGGTCAGAAAGTGATCAATGCTTTAGAAATAATATTATTCTGCTCGGCACAAGCCCAATATTAATCCATGTACTCGTTAAGCTAAATTTATAATATGCATGTTGCGTTCTTTAGAGTAAGAAAATTGGTATAGGAAAGATAAATTTTAATTCTATCACTAATAAGCCTTTAAGAATCTTTACTTGGATATATTTCAGTCACGGAATAATCAAGCCGTTTGAAATAAATTGAATTTATACTATGTTAATCTAAATAGATTGACATAGTATCTAAAAATTTTAATCATTACAGCTAAAGGAAACAAGATGAAATACTGTTATACCATAGCCAACTAGTCCATAAATCAGATAATGCTACTGTACATTGCACAGATAAAACAGTAACTAGAATTGTCCCAACTCTATGTTATAATCCCCATCAGACCTGAAATTAAGGAATGATTTAATTTCAAGGACGATTATTACCGGTACTAACTTGGTATTTACTGGTAAATCGATTTAAAACGCAATTAATTATGTAGTACTTTAGACTAAAGGAAATTCAATGTTATAGAAAATTATATATTGTACCGGCTAATGAGCTACTACAATATTAAATTTACTGTTTCTACCCCATTAGTGAAAGTAAATTACTTGAATAGCATTATTCTATCAAGTTCCTTCGATATATTGCTCTACCTAGTCCGAAATAAGTAGCTATAGATCAAGTTAAAGATAGTTGAATAACCTTCAATGGCATGTAAACTACACTCATCTATTAAAATCGGAGACCACAAGATTTATTATTATCTGAATAGGATAATTGTAGAGATATCTCAAGTATAGATGACTCATTCCTATACACGAAATTGAATATCAAAGGGATTATAATCCAGTTTCTGTTGACTAAATATACCGATATCACAAAATAACCCATCATTAGCTCTCTAAGACTGTGGATAGAGTAGAATATATCTTCATACCTCAATCAGAATAGTAATATTTATTACTGTCGATTAGAAAGCGCAGTAGAATAAAAAAAATCGTAAGGCAAAGAGTAATTGTGTATGAGTTTAGAGGATAAAAATAGATCCCGATGAACGAAGAGAATTAAAGAACTGATCAAATCCTATCTATCTAGCTGTGTTTTATCTTTCTGTTTTCTAGCTCATCCAAAGGGAGAAGATAGATGATTATATTTAAAGATTGAATACAGCAAATTTCATTCCCTTGAGTAAAAATACAGGCGAAAGCATTGTTCACCCAATGCAGATATGGATTATCACTCCATCTTTCACAGCAAAAGAAACAGCGTAAAATAAAACTTACATATTCCGATTCTCTCCTTTTCATCTTTGCAAGTTAGTGATCTATTTAAAGAGGATCCAATTCAATTTTGATAGCAATATATCACTTAATTTGATTTATTATCGAGGATACCGATGGGGGTAATCAAGAAGAAAGATAACGATAAAAAATGAACCAACGGTTGCAAGGTATTTATGTTTTCACCAATTTTCTGCTTCCTTGACTGAACTGCAGCAATGCGACAGTCTGATTTGCTTTCCTTGCTATACTGAAGTCAGTCAGGAAAGCTAACGATGGCGTCACCTTTATTTAAATTAAGGGAGGAGATCAAATCCCCTTTGCTTTGTCGGCTATTTTATCCTTGTTGATTTTTCCTTTTCAAATTTGAACCTTCTTAAACTAACATCAGGATAGTGACTGCTCAAGCTATCTCTTATTGTATTGTCCTGGAGAAGAATGTTTTGTTAATGCATCTTTTTGCCAACGATCTAAATTACTTTATTCCATTCAATTTTATCTATTAGAATCAACTATCTATATTGCAAATCTATAATTGACATATTGATATTGATCTACCAATAACAAGCAGTTAATTTGTCAATATTGTAACCAATGAGACACAAGCCAGTATAATGTAATTGAATTTCGCTCCACCTCTATCATGATGATGATCTCTAGTTCATATTATTATTTTCCCCTAGGTGGTAATTTAATCTGTAAGTTCCTATAATATAAATCGAGATCGATATCAATTCATAACAAAGAGCCTTGATTAATTCTTCCAGCGAATTTGCCCCCAATACATTTCGATAGCCAGTAGTCGGCCAATAATTGAATCAATAATGATCTTATCTAACGGACTGGATTCAAATATCAGTGATCAAATTAGTTTTATCTACGGCCATGAATAATCTCCACTGATAAGGTCTTAATAATAAGGTAATTACAGGTTAATAAACTTTTTCAATAGATTGCTGACATTATTGTCGGGACTATTAATCGATTTGATACCGTATCAATTAGTTTTCTAAAGCAGATTATGATATGCAATGAAAAAGAAATGGAAAGAAATCAGTATCATTTGGACACATTAGACATCATCAATTATCGATAACAATAAATAATCTGAACTGATGATGCCTTAATGAGCTGGAGATTGTGAATTAAAATCCTTTAAAAAGATGCTTTCGATTCCATTGCTTAGACGATTGATTTCTTGTATGAAAAGATGTAGAACGAACTGTTACTAAGGTCTTTAAAATTTGTTCATCCTTTTCGTAGAAAATTAAACTATCAAAAGGGATTCAATCTTGACGGAATACAGGTTAATTATTATTTTTGAATAGACTATTTGATACGTCTTCTGTCTTGACAGTTCTCCACTGGTATTATAATATTTAGTTAGCAAAAAACAATTTACGATATGACATGAATTAAAATTGAACCTTAATCTCAATTGAAAATAGCAGCTATCAGTAGCAATAAATGATTCGGCAGATATACTCATGTCACAATATAATTAAAGTACAAATGCAAACTAACAATGATTATTAAAATAACTGTTTATTTCGCTTATTGGATTATTTTTTTATTAAAGGCAATGGAATAAGCTGGTGAAATACACATGGCCGAATTGCAAGTTAGCATTATTTACTAGCCCCTCAATTATGGATTTAATTTGTACTAGGTAGGTCGCATTGATTAGTAAGTTCAGGTTAGTAACTTTTAGAATGAATTGTAAACGAAAATGCTTTTCCTTTCACCAAGATTCTATTAGAGATTGGATTCATTAGTTGATAATAGCAGAAGGCCACATAGAACGATTTACTTTTAATTAGAAATTTTAATTGCCAATTAGGGCTACTGCGATCATTACTTAAGAAAATCGGCAATTGAAAGTCTTAACATATAAAATCATAATGAGCTGATAATTATAAGTTAATTAGCTATTGAAGTAGTCTATTGATCTCAAAGTCATGACTATAGGTCTGATCCAACCTTTCTCAGGTCTAGTCTTAAGATAGCGCACGAATATGTTGGCTTAAAATATTAATCGTGATTTTAAGGCCACAAATTAAAATATTAAAGACTATAACGATTTGATTTGTAGAAAACTTAATGAGCTCGTAACGTGCATTATCTCAATTTTTAACTAATTCTTAATCTCTTTGTTATAACTATCAATCTGTTAGAGATGGTATCAGTGTCTATATATTAGCAAAACACAAGAAGTTATCAAAATATCCTAATCTACCAATTGCCTGTACGTTGAAAAGCATTAACATTAAATTCAAGAAAAACTACGATAAAATTTTTAGCAATGGAAATATTTATTAGAATTGAAATCGAAGCGTGTAATGAAACATATGTGAATAGTTCTGTTAGATTGGCATTTTTAAATTTGTGAAACTGGTATTTTAGAATGATAGCTAGTTGCAAAATTAACCTTTAATTAATGCTCTAAACTCCATCCTATTATGCTGTACAGTTACTATGATGTGGAAACGTCTTTATCAGAATCTCATTCATATTCTGTATCTAAATGATATAGACAAGCTCTTTCAATAATGTATCTAAACCCATATCACCTATAGATATTGTAAATAATGTAAGCAAAAACTGTATCTTCTTGTATATTCGAAAATATACATAATTGATGAAAGTTCTGGGGATATATTACAGGATCATACAATTGATTTTATACCCGAGTACGTTATAGAAAATAAATAAAATTTGATTACGTATGTCTTCCTTTTCCGATTACTAATAATTTTTGCCCTAAATGCGAATACGTACATGTATAATTTGTTAATCATCAGTTAAATTTTTCCTATCCTTATGACTAGCTTTATACTCAGAAGTTGTTAATACGTGTACTTGTATGCGATATTCGACTAAGTACTTAGTCAGTTATGGACAGTAATTGCTACCACTGTTATTAGACCGTATACCAGCCACATTCTACGACACAATGTTAGTATATAATTCTGCTCTTGATACCTGCACATCACGGACAATAATAATAAATTATATTATACTAATGAAACAACAACGCAGCGATATAGTAGCATATGTATTTATCACCTTTCTTAGTTACCATAATAATCATCTACTTTTCTATATTAATGATATTACAGGATGTCAGTTAATTTTATTGATGATGCTGCAATGCGATGACCTTGTCCTATTGCCCATTTATAGATCAGTCCCTAGTGTAGTACTAAAGATACCACTGCACGCAACAATCATACGAGACCGCACACTGTTAACTTCTACGGTACTCATCTTGAGCCATAAATACTGCGACAATATTTTCACTTTAAGTTATTATTTTATTAAATTTTTTCTGATACTTTAAGCATTTATTGTAAATGATCTACAATTAATCTCTCCGTAGTTTCTTTACCAACATAAAAAACGAAATATCATTACTGAGGACGCTTTTTAATTGCACGTATTCCTCCAAGACCCAGTCAACAACCTGATTAAGCAAACATATACTTGAATCTTCGACAACATCAGTTGTCAAAGTAAGTTGTCATCAGTAATTCAAAGTGCAATTCCCAATGTTAATTGAACGATACAGGCTATAACCACCAATGTAAGGTTCTCATTTACTGTAACTATAGATTTGTCATCATGTTACAATCCTAAGTTTTTAAACAAATAACAACAAGCCAACATTCGAGAATAACATTTTGATTATTTTAGACATTATTTTATATATAGTTTTAGGTATATGTGTTACGGGATATATGCACGTTCCATATATATCGCATATATATGTATTAAGTAAAAAAGAGCGTTGAAAGAACGTATCATAAAACATTTGTAGTAATGAATTTATAGTTCCGATAAAACATCGATTCAACTCACTGAAATTTTTCGCCAAAAGCTCCAATATCGTTTTTAAATAATAAAAGCTGAACTTAACATCCACCTTTGCAGAATCAACAGCAACGCCATTAAGCATTGATAGACGCTTACATCCGATATCCATAATTCATCCATCAAAACAAAACAGAAAGTTGACATATTAAAACTAAAAGCAACACTGGACTATTAACTATAATCCAAAACAACAGCGATATCAATTTGGGAAGTGCTGATTAACTTTATACTCTTAAGTAGAAGAATTGAGTTAAAATAAATTCAGAAGTACAAATAAAACGCTATCCATTGTAACGTTAAGAACCATACAGTTAAAATGTAGATACATAGTGTATAACAACGGTTACAAAAAAGATTTTGCAAGGTCCTTCGGTCTCATTGCACAAGCTACTGAACTAAGATTGCCATTAAATTGAACTGATCGAAAGTGCCAATACTACCATAAGTGACGATAATACGTTGCAGTGAGGTTCCATAACTGCGGTCACATATGTACATTAACACACAATCGAACACATCCACACGGCTACATGTTAACACGAAATTACTAATGTGAATTAATGTGTACACGTCTATATTTATCAATAAATTAAACATGATGAATATTGAAGGTGAAACGTAATAGAATATCAACGTAAACGTACGTAAAATAGATTTATACCAAATATCATGCACATGATGTACAGTTGCTATTACATTTAGAAAAATTCGTGCAACATTAGCAATGTTTCAATTTGATACGGAAAAACATTGTTTATGAAATGATATTAATTTCCCTTGCATTGACAGCAGTAGACATACGTATATTACGTTCACAAGTATCCATTATCTAATTTAAATCAAGTCAAGCTTTAGCATTAAAATTTGAGAAAAGATGTATGTAAAAAGGTTATATTAAATAAAACAAGAATAAAAATTTAATACGCTATATCTCAAAATTGACGCGTTTAAGATTCCTTTTCAAGTAGCAGCTAAGTATTGTCTATCCCAATTTGATTTTTTCAATATGACTACTTCACAGTAACTTACGGTATTACCGTTAGAAAACAGTGACATTGTTTGGATCAGTAGCTGTAATTATTCGTAATTATGAACAATCAATTACTGTAATAATTCCACTTTACCATAACAATCGTTGTGATTTTTCTTCACTAAAGGTGCGTACAAGCATTCGAGATAATAACAAAAAAATTACATCAAGGAAATAAAGTGCTATGTTTAAGCTAAAAAATATAGTCAGTGAAAAATTGTTTACGTATCAAAATGACTCCAGGTTTCAATATTCTGATGACCCTTGGTCGCCTGAAGATATATTTTGACGCCTTAAAGTGGCGGCTTGATCTGGTAATTCATGTTTCGGTTGCAAGCCAGCTGTTTGTTTACCTTGGTGTTGAGAACCCTTTTTAGAATTGGTATTATTGTGTGTTTTCACATGTTTCGATAAATGATCACTTCTCATGAAACGTTTACCACAATCTTGACATGCAAATTTTTTCTCTCCTGTATGAGTTCTCCGATGTCGTTGCAATTCATCTGAGCGAGTAAATCTTTTACCACAAAATAACCAATTACAAACAAAAGGTCGTTCTCCAGTGTGCCAGCGAAGATGTGCGCGTAAATGAGATGTTTTACCGTAGACTTTACTACAACCTTGATAATGGCATACGTGCATTTTCTTGCCACCCTGAGGTGGTTTATAATCTGGATTACGACAATTTGGGCAGCAACATGCAACACGTCTTACTTTTTTATTGCTTCCGGGCGCTTGCGGAGGATTAGTGACCTGATGACCTTGCGAGACATCTGGTGTTACAGTTGGCGGATAATTTAGTACTTGATTAGCGTTCGGTGCTGCATTGGCATCTGGTGTATAATACTGATTAATAAAATTACCATGGGGTGGTAGATTAGGTGGTGCACCAGACATATGAGGCGGTACTGGAGACAATGGTGCTAAATTGCCTAAATTGGCTGTCGAGTGATAACCTACTGCATAGGAATTATTCTGAGCTGCGTTGTTGGGGGTCCAAGCAGTTGAACGAAGTGCTAACCATGGTGCAGTTGCCACTTGTTGCTGTTGTGGTTGTTGTTGTTGCTGTTGTTGTTGTTGTTGTTGCTGTTGTTGGTCGTTAACGTTATTGCTTTTCTGAGGCCAATTGTAACTACCACCACTATTACCAACAGTAACAACGCTAACATCCTTATTTGTGATATAATTATGAGATGCAGCTACAACCGTAGTTGCATTTACACTAGTTTGTATACCACCGACATAATGCGGCGATGATTGCGATTCACTAACACCTCCACTACTGACACCGCTAACATTATTCCTATGTTGTTGGACGTGTCCACTAGGTGGATTTGGAACTCTAATTAATGCGTTACTATTGCCCGATGCATAATACATCTCATTAGGATCATAATTGCTGTAAAAAGACGGTGCAACAGCTTGTTGTAGATTAGGATTAACATTGGCTACATTAAAATGCGTGTTAGGATAAGATACTACGACACTACTTCTGCTATCTCTTGGTGAGTTGCCATTATTTCCATTATTTGTATTATTAGAATTATTGGTATGAGCATTGGAGGTAGTCTCATGGCTCCAATTACCGGCGCTATTAGTATATTCGTTAGAAATAGTTTGTGCATTATTTGCTATTCTCTGATTCATATTGGCTGGTGGCACTTCGGTAACCTGCTGTTGATGCTGTTGCCGTTGATGATGATGATGTTGCGGAGGTGGCGGTGGCGCTTGTTGATGATGGTGTAAATGGTGATGTTGCTGTTGAACTACTACAGCAGCAACTTGTTGTTGTTGCTGCTGTTGCGGCTGCGGTTGTTGTTGCTGTTCTGGTCCTTGACCAATTTTACTACATGTCGCTGCTAATAATTGCAAAGGTGAAGGTTGTACGTCCTTTATTGTTGTAAGGGTAAAGATAAAACAAATCAATATCAATGAACAGTGATATTCGATATTAATTCTCTTACACCAATTACTGCACCATATCAACATTTCAGAAATTAACTTATAGTTCAACTACTATTCAGACGGTCGAAGTTAATTGTCGCAGAAAATACAAATCTTCTTTGATTGGATAATCAATGTGCAAAAATCGATTCTGTATGAATTACTCAAGTTCTATTATATCATGCGCTTCTTTCCATACAAATGACTACACTGATTAATTCTTGAAATGTCGTATGAGAAGGCTGATTGATCATAGCCCATTGATTATGTAGCTGCTATATACTCGTTTTCAATAATATAGGCAAAATGTTACACTTTAAGGTACTAGTGCTTAACAGCAAACTAAAAATAGAGAAAAGAGTAAGACTACAATTTCTAGAGCGTCAACTACTGGCACCTTCATTAAATCATGTCACGAATGCTATCGAAATGAAAGTGAGAAAGGGTCATAAGCTGTCCAATCATGTAGTGAAGTCACATAACTCAAATTGATTGATTGAAAGTTGTATTGGTGTTTTCATTAAACTATCTATCCATAATGGAAATGAACGATTCAAAATACAACTAATTGATAATAATGTACACAAAAGGCGACATTACTGTTTTGGGCATTTTATGGCGTAGACAGTCATGCCATCGAGTTGGCTAAAGCTGCAAAAAATCAACCTTGCTGCTAGGCAAGGATACGATCATTCACGCTATATCGATGAAATGTTCAGACTATTGATGTTAAAATGGAACGAAAGGATAAGTATTGACATCAAAATAGGATGGTTTATTTTTTGTAGTACAGTAGGTTGACTTTAAAAGTACAAAGAGGGATGGATGCCTAAATGATGTGGTCGGTACAAGATGATGATGATGATCCTTGGCTACGATCGCGGTCAAATCATTGTCAAATTAGTTTGCATTTGTGTTCAAAAGACTGTTATCGTACCCGAGATAAGTTTGATTTATTCATTACTTGCCAAGGTAGTCAATTGCAGGAAGGACAAGTCGGTCCAGTCAAGACAAGTATAAAAAAAGGGCAGCGTCTTTGGCCTTTTCTTGACTTGCAATATTATTATTATCAATTAATTCTCAACCTTTTCAATCTTCACTATCCAGTGGAAAATGGGTACATGCATTCCAGTGCAGTCGGTCAAACTGAATCACTCGTCCCTTTACGCCCCACTGTAGTCTTCAGCAATAGTACTCGATCGTTAAACATGGATCAATGGTCGAAAAGTGTGATAGAGGTTGCAAATCCTTTCAATGTCATCACCTTGTCCTAAATGAGCAAAAATGAGCATGGAACATTCACCGCATCCATGGTAATTAGGACAATGCGTCAGCTTGAAATTTTCAATCGATCGTTTCTTGTGTCTTCTCTACCACTTTTGACCCTGGTATCATACAGTCTACTATCGCTAGTACAGTGAACGCGCATTTATTAGAGTACGATAAAGTTACAGTATCCACTCTGCATGTCCAATTGTACATAGACCATGCTACTGATACAGTATCAATATCTTCATACAAGACCATACATTCGGTCTCAGAGATGTAGAATGCAAACTCAAGCTTTTCAGGACCATGGTACAATGTACTGTACACTGTAGTGTACCAGAACACTCTATACGATATCACTCACTCGTCTTGTTTTCATGGAAATTCTATCACTCTTGACTAAGCTTTGAGAATGACAACAGAGAGTGGTGTCGACAGACAGATGGACAAGACGTACTGTATGGAACGCGCTTTGACTAATGCTTTTACGTGACGATCGAACTGAAGTACGGACTTCCGGTCGTCGTGACGGTGAACCTAGAGGGAGTCTCTCTATGGCAACAAATGCAGCGACAGAAATGTCGGTCAGCAAGATCGGCTAAGAGGCCTTCATCAATAAGCACATTCTTGATTGGGAACTGTCGAATACGACATTGAAATTGGAGTAGTGTAACAGCCTAGGAATAACATTACTTGTAGCAGGATACCGTTGCTTATGATAGCTAATTGTAATGTAGAAAGAAGCGTGGCGGTGTCGATTTCAAACAAGTAAGGACTCCTTACTTGTAGGCAATCAGGGAAAGTCCATGTTACACAAGTTAGAAGCGTAGCCTAGTTCGGATCCATTGCAGTCAATTGGAATTGATCCCATAATTCTATGTAGATGATGTCGTACCGCAAAGTACTTTAATCGGTATAAAAGCGACGACTGAGCATTTCAATCAGGCCTGTCTACCCGACTCCTCTACCCACTTTAAACATTCGTACAACCTGTGTCCTATCCACCCTGTAGAAGTGGATATTTTTCGAACTTCCCTGTCAGAGGTACGTAGGTATCATGTCAAGACAAACTATGGGTAAATTGGTACATACTAAACAAATAACGTCTGTCATCAAGGGCATCTCAAATTCTTAATACACACGATAAAAAAATTTGAAACCCCTTTACATGTCAGCTGGAGACAATTTGGGAGAACATGCATGAAATGTGAGAGATATCCAGACCGATCCATTGATAGACAACTCTTACGATTTCTATATAAACTTACACCATTGAAACTTGCCTAATCGTTGTCATCTCACTGCTGGCATGACACGACTTACAATATTATGAACGCAAAGAAAAACTTGTAAATAGCTGTAAGTTGCTAAATGCAACCATCTCCAAGATGGAAGTGACTCATCGGTAACAGCCACATGCACAATTGCACATGAACAGCAGACATCAATTAAGAGGAGGGGAAAATGTCGATAATACAATGATATTCTGAAGCAGTGCAACAGTTACGAAACAAAAAAAAGTTTGGTGTAGCACTTTGGTGGTAATGTTGAGAAGACCGACTCTTTTAGGCAATCAATGCATTGAAAAGAAGATAAAACCGATTGAAAGAGAAGAAGGGAGAGGGAGGAGCAGGAACGAGAAGGAGGAGGAGGGATGGGAGGAACTCCATGCCAATACAACAGTCAACGTTGCCTATTTTGCTTGTTCATCATTATGATACAGGCTATAGTGTACTGTACAGTGCACACACAACGTATCTATTTCTGTTGCACACTTTCCATCCAACGACGTTGTCTCCTTCCTCAAAAGGAAAACAAGCAAAGTTGTAAAAATAGTGCAGGTGAAAACAACATGCCCTTGAGTTGAGCTCGTTTCTTGAATGTACTCTCTACTTATGGCAGTCTTTTTATGACATTATACTGTAATTTGGAGCGGTAAATTGATCGTAGAAGACGAGAATGGTTAACGCGTTGCGTCGTGCCACTCCTTCTTTCCAACTGTACACAGTTTAGATTCTACTCCCTTCAATCCATCCTGGATGTTTCATGTTTAGCACTCCAGCATTATTATTACTGCAATACGGTTTTTCATGACAGCCCTCTAGTTATCCAATCCGCGAAGGAATGTTGGACACTCTCTGGAGCTTATATAAGGAAAAAAAATCAATCGGCGAGCAGCATGTCGGCACCGATTTACGCCATCCACTCACTGATACAGTCTAGTAAGCCTACACCGGGGATGGGTTCTTGACGCGGGACTGACCGGCGTTGTCAGGAAACTCGTCCATTTTGAGCGTGTTTTTTACACAATATCTCACGCTCCATTTAGCGGTTTATTCTCAACTATGTCATTCTGTAATGATTTAAGACATGGTATTTTTTTATTTGTTGACGATTTTATTGTACAAGTAAGTAGGGGATCCAACTGACTATGGTTAGTAATCAGCTGTTGATGTTGGGGCGGGCGCTCGATCTATACGACTAGA